AGATTGATGCTGCTGCGAATAGTGTCCCCGTCCCAGCGGAGATTGGAGTAGAAAGCCCGAACGTAGGCGGGATTGAAGGAGGTGCGACTGCGGGAGACGAAGGGCCACAGACCCGACTCCTTGAGTTGATTGTCAAGGTCGTAGTAACCCTTCTGTTGAGGGTATGGCTCGGGTAGCACCCTTGGCGGAGAGATGGGGCGCTTGGCGAAATAGGTGATGAAACGAGAGAGTTCCTCTTCCGACCCGAACTCCAAGAAGGATTCGTCCAGGTACGGAAAGGGTTGAGGCGCAGAGCTCGTGGCCTCGGCGACGGTCTTCTTCTTAGAGGCCTTGCTCTTAGATTTTCCTCCGGCCATAGCAGCGTTTTTGAAGAGAAGAAAGTGAAATTTGATTAGGAGATTGAAATATGGATGCAAATTGTGATTAGGAATGATAGAGTATGATGTATATTTATAGGAGAGAAGTGAAAACCGTTTGAAATTTGAAAAAAACTAGCTGTTGGGCCATTAATTGTGGTTCCAACGGTTCTGAGAATTTAAATTTCATTCGCCTTCCCAGCGATGGGTAGGTCTTCCCATCGATGGGAAGGTTGCCACTGGAAAGCGAAGGAGAAAACTAAACTGCCTTCCCAGCGATGGTAGGATTCACCCATCGATGGGAGGGTTTATTCTGGAAATCCGTTAAAACCTTTAAAAAAAGAGTGACAAACACCCAGCGATGGGAGAAAGTCCCCATCGATGGGTAAGTAGGTTCTGGAAAAATTTTGAAGCTGAAATCACTCACCCAGCGATGGGATAAAGGACCCATCGATGGGTAGGGTGTTTCTGAAAAAAGTTTGACAAAAGTTCTTCACCCAGCGATGGGAAGACATACCCATCGATGGGTAAGGTGTTTCTGGAAATCCGATAAGAATTTTTTTAAAAAAAAGAGTCAATTACCCAGCGATGGGAAGAAGCACCCATCGATGGGAAGAGGGGTTCTGAAAAAAAGTTAACTTCCCTCCCAGCGATGGTATGGCCTGCATATCGCTGGTTCCCCCTGATTTCCAGAATTCTTCACTTCGAACCGTCCCTGCAAAAAAGGGTTAGAAAACCCTCCGACGCTCAAGTTAGTAAATATTCGAGCAAAGATAAAAGAATGATAAAATGCACAAATTAGATCATCGTGGAGTCAAGGATTCCGAGTTCACTACGAATGCGGAAGAACGACTCTTTCTCTAAAGGTTTTGTGAAAATGTCGGCTAATTGGTTGTGTGTTTCAACAAACTCAATTTCGACATCACCTTTGAGAATATGATCTCTAATGAAATGATGCCTAATGTCAATGTGTTTCGTCCTTGAATGAAGAACGGGGTTCTTCGTCAAGCTAATGGCGCTAGTATTGTGACAACGAAGAGGAACGTGACTGATACTAAGGCCATAGTCCACGAGTTGTTGCTTCATCCAAAGGATTTGAGCACAACAACTACCGGCGGCTACATATTCCGCTTCGGTTGTGGATAACGCAACACTGACTTGTTTCTTGCTAAACCATGAAACTAAAGAGCTACCAAGTAGGTGGCAAGTCCCACTCGTACTTTTACGGTCTAATTTGCAACCGGCAAAGTCCGAGTCGGAGTAACCAACAAGGAGACAAGAAGAGCCTTTTGGATACCACAGTCCAACGTTAACCGTGCCGACAAGGTATTTCATGATCCGTTTCACCGCGGTTAAGTGCGATTCCTTCGGACATGATTGATACCTTGCGCAAAGGCATACACTAAACATGATATCCGGTCTACTAGCGGTAAAATAGAGAAGGGATCCGATCATACCTCGATACTTTTTGACTTCTACTTCCTTACCTTTCTCGTCTTTGTCAAGATGGTCAGACGTGCTCATCGGGGTCGCCATGGCTTTGGCGTTGTCCATTTCAAACCGTTTTAGGAGCTCCTTGCAGTATTTAGCTTGGAAAATGAACGTTCCATCTTTCATTTGCTTAACTTGGAGTCCCAAAAAGAATGTGAGCTCGCCCATCATTGACATTTCAAATTCGCTAGTCATGAGCGTTGAGAATTCCTTGCACAAAGACTCGTTAGTAGCACCGAATATAATGTCGTCTACATAAACTTGAACCAAAAGGATGTTATTGTTTTTACTCTTGATAAAAAGTGTAGTGTCAACCTTTCCCCTTTGGAAACCACTATCCAAAAGAAATTTACTCAAACGTTCGTACCAAGCACGTGGTGCTTGTTTAAGACCGTAGAGCGCTTTCTTGAGTTTGAAGACGTGATCGGGAAACTCAAAGTCCTCAAACCCCGGGGGCTGGTCAACATACACTTCCTCTTGAATAAAACCATTGAGGAAGGCACTCTTAACATCCATTTGATAAAGTTTAAAATCCATAGACGAAGCAAAAGCAAGAAGTAAACGAATAGCTTCTAAACGTGCTACAGGTGCATA